GCCATTGGAACCAGGTTCCCTTCAATCCGACCTGTTCTGGATTCTGTAATTCTGTGATATTTCCCATTTGAATGTTTTAAATGTGAGGCAAACTTGGGCTCTCTTGATCATTCCCCTTTGGTAACAAAGTGCTTCTGGATTAATCATGAATTAATCTAAAAATCTACAGATGAGTCTTTACTCCTTTTTTGAATTTAAGGAGAAAAACAAAGCCAAAACAACTCGCAGTATAAGATAAAGAGAATAAAACTCATAATATCTTCAYTAAAGTGATATCAGCAGCTTTGCACAAATATTTCTGACTTACCATATAGGTTTGTAATACTCCAAAGGGAATGTGTCAAAAAGAATTGTTTTAAAGCTTCATACAAATCGTTTATACCTTATGAATTTATGAATTTCCTTTCATTACAACTGGAGTTTTCAGTTTTCTGTCAAGAAACCCCTCCAGTATCCAGAGAAGCTTTCGTTGAGGACTCAGTGCCAGAAAATAAAGTTTYACCAGACTCCATCCCAACATCCAGTTTCTATGCATCACTGCCTGTTTTTTACGAGGTGTTATTTGGTGTCTTTTCCTCACACAAGGAGAATGAGTCAACCCTTTTCTCTCAGTCCCTGCTGCACACACGGATTACAATTTCAAGCCAAAAACAGGCTTTGTGACCATTACGTGTTTTTTTTCCCCYCAAACATGCAAGCTGTAAATGGTAATTTTTAAAGCTACCTGTGAGCTGGATGTTCCCCTGCAAGCACAGTTTTAAAGCTTCACACAAATCATTTGTGTTTGGATTTTGCAGTTCCACAAGGGATCTCCAGTTTGGTTGTTTCTCCTGGGTGATTTTGCAGGGCAGGCGTTGCCTCTATCACCTTGTACAGGTTTTTCTGATGATTTTTCTGATGATTTTTCTGATGATTTTTCTGATGATTTTCCTGATGATTTTTCTGATGATTTTTCTGATGATTTTCCTGATGATTTTTCTGATGATTTTTCTGATGATTTTTCTGATGGTGGGGGCTCAGCAGAAAATGCTGGAGCAGCAAAGGATGGAGAATTCCCCTCTGGGGGTTCCTGCCCAGGTCCTGTGTCCTTTCCTGTGCTCTGGTCCAGGCTGGGAACCAGCAGGGGAAAAACCTGCCTGACAAAGATTTTACCAAAATCTGTGAAGTTCTGCTGGGATTGGACCTCACTGGGAGTAAAGAGAACCGAGGAGGACGATTGCAGTCTTGGAATTTTTCAAGAAAACCATCAGGGCTGATTTTCCAGCTTGGTTTCAGGCTTTCCTCACACTGACAGCTCGGTGATCACTCAAGTGCAGTGGCTCAATTGTCTGGAATGGGAATTGCAGAGTCAACCTGGCCCCAAACCTGCCCCACCACCATGGATTTGCCTGGAATTTGGGCTTTTTTTTTGGCTCAAATTGGCTCCATCTCTGGCCCCTGCTCGTGACAGCAGCTCTGCTCCTGCTCTGCCCCCAGCCTCAGCTCCTGAGGGAAAACAAACCTCAGAACAACTTTTTGAATTCACTATTTTAAAAAAAAAATACAGGGAAAAAAACCCCCCAAAGTTTTCCCCCCTCTAACTTTCTCAAGAAACAATTCTGATTCAGAATTCTTTCCCTCAGGGGAAACGAACCTGAGAACAACTTTTTGAAATCACCATTTTAAAAAAAATACAGGAAAAGAAAACCCCAAAGTTTTCCCCCTTCTGATTTTCTCAAGAAAGAATTCTGATCCAGAAGTTTCAGAAAGAAATCACCCCAAGCAGGGTCTGGAGTGT